TGCACAAGCGTCTCTACCTAGCAATAGAGAGCCTTTGGGGAACACATATATATCCTCTGTGATTGTCTGATCACCTTTCTTTAGTTCTGCAGTAAAGAATCCAAGAGTTGAAAGGTTGCTTTGATCTGGGCCACTAAGAGGCCTGTCAGGCTTCTGCAAAATGAAGTGTGAAAACTGTGTATCATACACAGCTTTGGAAATGACTGTCACATCTGCTCCAGTATCAACAGAAAATTTCAGGCTCTGACCTGACACCTGGACTTCCGTAAACCATGCACTCCTACGTTTCCTGTTGTTGATACTCTCAATAGAGTAACTTTCATCACTGATGCTTCCTAAGAAGTAGTACTCATCTGAGTCAGACTGCACTTCTGCTACCTCTTGTACAGACCCTTTTCCTTTACTACTCCTGCAGACCTTGCCCCAATGTCCTGGGCGTTTGCACTTGTTACATTTACTGTCTTTTGCAGGGCATCTTTCTCTGGGGTGCACCTCCTTTCCACACCACCGGCATGACCGGCTATTCGACGCCTGGGAGCAATTTGATGCACTTCTTTGCTGCCCGTTACTACGTGGTCCCTTGTCACGAGGGCCTCCTTTCCGCCTATGTTGAACTGCCTGCACTTTAGAAGTCTCTCCTTTTATATCCTGAGCCCACCTTCCAGAACATTCTTCTGCTCTACACTCATTTATCGCTTTTTCTAAAGTCAGTTCACCATCTCTCAACAGCCGTGCTCTGACCTTATCACTATTTATACCCAATACGATCTTATCTCTGACAAAATCGTCCTTTAGTTCACGGTAGGCACACGTAGACACGAGAGTGTTAATTTGTGATAAGAAATTATCGAAACTCTCACCTTCTGATTGCGTATACCTGTGAAACTTGTAACGTTCATAAGTAACATTTGTTTTCGGCGTGCAGAACCTCTGGAATTTCTCCAGAATTAATTCCGGATCCAGTTTGTCCTCTGCTGGTACATGTTCCTCCCCTTCGGGGTCACCTACAGCTGGAGCCCATGTGAAGCCATTGTAGATTTTCAGCGCCTCCTCACCTGCGAGATTTAGCAGTATAGCACTTCTCCTTTCCTTACTGGCAGTAGATAATCCAATGGCGTTCACATATAATTCGTACTGCTGCTTGAACAACTTGAAATTCTCACTTGCATTTCCCGATAGACAAAGAGCTTTCGGTGGTGGAAGATTCGTAGCCATATTTCCGCGTAATTCCTGATCACTGATCGCTAAATATCCGTTCTGGACACAGTTTATATCTTCTTGTTCACTTCTGACACCATGTGGTGTTCGGATGGCACGAGAAATGGAGATATATTCTTGGATTTCAACACAGAACTTTTAATAATTTCTAACATGTGTCGTCGCCATTACCGGAAGTGATCATACATTGAATCATGAACGGAAGCGAGGCTGAATTAATGTAAACGTAAATCGAATACAGCACAGCCAACACGTCCAAATAATCCACTCGCACTAGTGCTGGCCATCTTCTATGCCACAACACACACAGCGTTGTCCAAAGACCTTGCACTTTTGAATGACGTGGAAAAACGACTGATCCTCGTCGCCAAAATGTAATATATTGCTAGTGATATAAACCCACGAGGTCAAACAACATGGCCGCTTCAACACAACTTTATTCCAGCAATGTATTCTGGGTACATACACAGTAACCCTAGAGGGTACTTAATATATTACAACTTCAGAGTGCTATTATTGAAATGTACGTCAGAGAGAAGGGGAGACCTTTTTTTACAGATTCGCATAAGCTTACATTTCTTGACGTTAAAATCCATACAATTTTGCTGACTCCAACTGTAAATGTTATCAATATCGGTCTGAAACAGAAAATGATCAGCTGGGCAGTTAATCACCCTTGATGTTTTACAGTCATCAGCGTATAATGACACAGAGTTCCCTGGGGTAACAACTTCAGGCAGGTCACTCATAAAAATCACTGAACACAAGGGGCCCAGTAATGAGCCCTGACGTACACCTGACGGAATAGAGCACTAGAAGACTTCACTCCGTCGATCACAACTCTTTCTTCTCTGTTGGTGAGGTAATCATGGCACCAGTTTAAAAGTGCACCAGAAATACCAAAATTGCACAGTTTCTGCAGCAGTAAGTCATGTGCTACTCTGTCGAAGGACTTTGCGAAATCTAGGAATATAAAGTCCACCTTCATCCAGGGCCTTTGGGCATTGATGATGTGAGAGCACCTGCTGGGTAGCACAAGAGTAACCCCTTCAAATATTTACAATAATTTGAAGAAATGAGTTTCTTTCCTTAGGAGCTTGAATTTAGAGGTGAGCTCTAATGAGGGATTATTCTTCAGTCTTTTCCATAGTGCTTTCTTTTTCCTGACCAATTTCATCACATCCTTATTAATTCAAGGTGGTCTGGATTTATGTTTTAGCTTCATTGTCAAGATGTGATGTTCAACTGCAGCGACCACTTGGTCTTCAAAGAAAACTGCACT